GACGGTTTTTTGTTATCTGTCGTTTGTTCTAAGTGATACGCTCTATTCGAGAACATCCTGAGTATTGCTAGTCCACATTTAATAATATTTTCGATGTTTCCTCTCATCTTAATTGTCCTTGGAAGGCGAACACATGAGAATTTGTTCATAGATGCAAGCAATTCAAACTTTTCAACGCACTTCTCTTCAAACTGTAACCAAAACTAGAAATGCTGCAAACTTTAACTGAAACATGCGGGCCACAGGTTGCTCGAAAGTTAGGTCAAGTGCTAGTCGATTTTGTGCGCACGTCTTTTACATTGGCATGATTGCCCGCCCATATGCAGCCCGCAGCGCACAACGCGCATAAATTACATGAAAAACTGCACACATACACACACACACACTGAACCACTAGCATCGCCTGATTGATGATGCCAAGCGGCGCAAACTACGTGGGCGTTGCCAGCTATAGTAGTCCAAAAGCCAAGTCATTGCTATATTAGCGCCAGTCCTGCGACTGACAGCTTGAAAATCACTGCGAATTGAATGCAGCTCGTTGTGCCATTCTGTCGGAGGCTACATACAAGTAAGCCGGCGCACTTAGGTTGACCAACGCATAGGGATTGAGCTTGGCGCTTAACCGATCAATGAAATAATGTCCACTGATAAAATGAAATATATGTCTTTTCACAATAAACTGTTGGTAAAAGCACTTTATACGATTCTCAAATTCAAAGATTATTTCCCCACGCTTAATCCAATAAATTCACACGCCATCAAAGACAACAGACAAAGTCTATGTCAGATTTTTAGCCAGCCCTAGCTACAACAAGTAGAAAAATTAAAGTCGGATGTCCTGACTTTGAAATACTCTGTACATATATGTAGAATAATTGTAGAAATAAAAAATAATAATTTATAAAAATAATAAAATAATATGTACTTTGTGGGGTCGGCCTGTTACAGTTTTCACCTCCCACAAACCTAATATACTCTTGTACATTTCATGTATAGTTTCTGCTTATGAACTTAATTTCCAGAACTTGCTTTGATCACGCTTTCCTATAGTAATGTTCAATTATTCTAGCTCTTTTAGGTTCGAGATCCTTTCGTTCACACAGACAGACTGAGTGAGTTTCCCTGTATATACATACTTACGTAGCGTAACCAGGGACAGCAACTAGCAGTTGTAAAATGGTTAACTTTGCTTAACTTGAAAGTCAAATACGTCAGATAAGACAAGGTCGAGCCGTAACCACTAAATATATAGTACAACATTTTATTCAGAATATTTACCATTTACACCACTGTCATATCATTTTCCGGAGTTATGTATAAGCAGTAAAAATGCAACATGTGTTCTCTTACAGCAGTAACTAAAAGTAGTAACAACTGAAATCATGATTTTAAAAAAACATGAAACAAATCTCACTAATCATCTTCTCATATCAGTATGCGTACAGCCGTATAGAAGAGTACAAGACTGATATCGATATAAGCCCTTTCAGAGTTTAGTGCCAAAAGGCACACAGAGTGGTCAACCAAATGCAATTTAGAACAAGTTGTGGGCAATAGTTAAGGCCGCAGCTCATGAGTGTGTGTGTGTGTGCTCGTTTCCGACCAGCTTGTAACTATTTAAGCGGCAATTTGTAATTTTATTGCCAACTGCGTTCGACGAAAACTTTCCTTTGGACACCCACGTGCCACCCTCTCAACTCACTTGATGCTGTTGTTAAGTTAAATGCCAGGCTCTTATAGCCTGTGCTCTTCAAAAATGTTTCGCACACTATTTGCTATGCTCATCGTTCCGTGTTCCATGGGCATGAATGAGACATGCTAGTATTTATATTTTGGGGCAGTACGTGCATTTGAACATAAGTTTGTCGTTTTGTACTTGCCCATTACCACTCCCCTGCTACCTTCAACTGCTGCTAGCAAGGACAACTTAACCACAGCTAGCTCATTTTGTTAGCGAGAATTTGGCACAGTTTGAAATTCAATTAGTTTTGGTGCGGGCATTCGGCATTGTTTCACAGTTGGCAGTTGCCACATCCCAGTTGTTTCTTAGTGTCGACGGGCCTTTGACTTTTTAGCCAAAACACGTACGTAACGCTGACACGTTGGGAACACCAGGAAGGCAGCTATATAACTCAATTTTGTGGATGTGTGTGTTTGGGTTTAAACTTTAAGACAAGCTGCTTTAGAAAACTTCAGCTTTATACATATGCATATCGATCTGAGTGGCAATATAAAGTATACGCACTGTTGCCGATATACTCGTATACGTATAAAAAACAAATTGAAGCTATAGAATTTAATTTTCTAGAACTTGGCATACATTTTTCATACACTTTTTCACTGTCGCAGTTAATGCGCAAAGTTCGGAGGCAATAAAAAGCACCCAACACACTGGTGGGAGTCACACATTTGATATTCTATTTACGCAAAATGAAGTCTGCACCGCTCTTGCCACATTACAACTTTAACAATAACCGACAATAATGAGCAGAGACGCCATGAAAAACACAAAATTAGCGCAATGCCGCATACACACCCATACAGTATATACAAGCGAAAGCCTTTAGGTGGCGCCGATGAGAGTTTGCCACAGGCCAAGAACCCCTTTGTAGCAGCTTGGCACACTCGAAGCTGGAAGCTGGACGCTAAACACTCGTATATACTTACCACAGCAGTAGCGACAGCCAACGCCATTATCCGCTACCCATCCTTGGCTTTCAAGCAACAAATTGTTGGCTTTGCCTCGGACCATTCGCTATCAAGAAAGCGTTGCTATCCAACCCTAAACTCAACTCTCATGACAAAACTCAGCTAGAACTTTTCGTTAAAGACAATTTAACTTTGTAAACTGATACAAAATGTCCGCCTTGGTATACTTAAGTCCTTTTACCCTAAACTGCTTCAATGCCTTGTCCGCGTGCCCTGCACCCACTCGCCTGTAAGACTGCCGCCTGACTGCCTGCTTTCTTTGTTAATCACGACATATATATATATATGTATGTATATGTATGTGTTGGTGTGTGTGCAGAGCTAATGTGTTGTTGGATACTTCCACAATTGCTTAGTTTCTAGTTAGTTAGCTACGCAACATCCATACCAAAACTGATTTAAAGTCCACACACTACGTTTGGACACCAACAATTATATTGGTGACGCAATCATTTTCAAATTATGTAAATATTTTTTTCAGCTAAATCAATCTATATATAAAAAACAAGTAAAAAAGCTAAAGTCGGGTGTCCCGACTTTGAAATACTCTGTACATATGTTTAGAATAATTATAGAAATTAAAAAAAGTAAGAGAATTAAAAAATAAAATTTTTGATCGATTTTACCTCTTTTGGTATTTGAACTCTCGTAAAGGGTGTATAATTGCACATATACAAGCGTACACACATAACGCATCTTTGTTGAAAGTTTGGTGTCTCTACCTCTTATAGTCTCTGAGATCTCTGAGATCTGAGTCTCAGACAGACAGGTCTAATCGACTCGTCTCGTCATGCTGATCAAGAATATATACTTTGTGGGGTCTGCCATGCCTCCTTCTGCCTGTTGGATTTTCAGCTCCCACAAAACCTAATACAAGTATACTCTTGTACATTTTATGTACACAGTATAAAACTGCAGCTGAAAATGCCGATGAACGCGACAAACGTTTGCGAAAGGGCATCCACATCCACAACAAGAACGGAAGTCAAGGCTTCGGCAACCGCGCGATACGGCATCCACATCTGATCCATGAAACAGCAAAAGGCGGCGATGGTCATCCTTTGTACAGACGACGAAAGGTGGAAGACAGTGGGTACAGTGGATACGACAGTGGCAAATCTGCTCAATAACTGACTTGTGATCCAGATTCAGAAAATTCATGTTGTTTTATTTCAAGCATATGTATTTTTTGTGACTTTGTTAAAGCTACTATAGGGCGCACATACTCTATGTACATACAATATACAATCCGTTTTTACCAAATAGTTGAACTTTCATCGTGCACAAAAATTTGTTGTGTATGTGATAAATAAATGTCTTGAACTTTGCAACTTTTCAGTTCGCCTTTTGACGTTACAACAAAAGCAGGGACTGAAATTTTTCCAAAATATTATATTCTACTTCAATTGACATGACACTTTGTGTCACTTGGAAAATTGTTCCGCATACTGATGTCCAGTCCGCGCGAAAGGAGCAAGTTTATACGACTACGGGTATATTTACCCGCTCTCGTCCTTACTTTCTCCTTTACACTCTGTCACTCACACACAAAGCTAAGGAGTTACAACTTTTAAGTTGGTTGCTGCAGAAAACTAAACTTGAGCGAAGACTTGCGCGACTAATTGGAATATTAGGCAACAAGCGCAAGTTGCTTTTAATGTTGTTGTTTTTGCGAGGAAACTTAAGTCTGTTCTGCTGTATCGGGTGAAGGACAACAGCAACGTCATGGCGCAACTACGCACCATGACAACCTACTCCTATATACCAATTTAAATGCTCGCTAATTACGTTGAGAATGCTTCGTTTAATATTTACAGCTGAATGGTTGCTAACATAAAACTGCTGAGGAGTTAACGAATATGACTTGCACTAATCTGAAGGTTCGTTAAGAACTAAAAAGCTCCGCGACTTCAAATTGTTAACATTTCAGCGAAAATTAATATATAATTATATATCAATTGATAACAATACCGTAACATCCGTAAGTTATGGAAAATTCACAAATAGCGGGGGAGTGTGTGTTGCCTTAGGAAAAAAAAACTTGCCTTTTGGTTATTCTAACTCTTACTATGTATATACGATCCATCCGTTCATACAGATGGCCAGACAAATGGACAGGCGGACATAAATATATCGACTCGTCACGTCGTACTGATCAGCTACATACCTTTTGGGCAAAGGGAATAAATACACTTTTAAAGAAAAGAAACTCTTCCTTATTAGCCCACATATTTGAAATATGAAATATGTAAAAACTGAATATTTTCTATAACTTTATTCTTTGATTTCAGGAATATCCCACAGCAATGGATTTTGGAACACCGCCTCTGCCTCTAACACATCTACAACCAATAACGGTCACCTCCCAGGCGGCGTTACTGGCCACCAATGGGGGCGCCACCCTTATTGGCAATGGCACGGCCGGCGGCTCGGGCACACTACGTCGCGGCATCTTGCGCGGCGTTGTGGGCGTACCACCGCCCGATGTAACGCATCACACATCAGCCATCACAAGCATGAGCGGCGCTAGTCCTATGCAAATTCTGCACGATTTGCATCCCGTTAATCTGAGTGCGACAACCCTAACCACCAGCACCACCCTCAATGGCAGCATGACGACGGCGCTGCCCATTTCGACGGCCACACTACCCCGTCAGCCGCACAGCATACTTAAGGATCCCAATCGGAATAAGCAGCAACAACAGCAGCAGCAACAGTTGCTCAATGCTAGTATCGTTGGTGTGGGAGCACCGATGGGCAGCCTCCAAATCCTCAACCTGCCGCCTGCATCGATGGGTCTCGGCAGCAATCTGCTGATGACAACTAGCGCCACCTATGATCCGGCGACGCTGAGCAGCTTTAATGGTTCTGCGGCGGGCGTTCCCGTCAGCTACACAGATGCCGACGGGCATCTCGTATAGCTATAGGCTGAGACTGGGGATCACATAGCCGAGCCCCGGTATTGACTTGTACAATTGCCCAGCCCGGCCGTAAACTGCAAGTTAAATTCGCGTTCACACACATATGCATTCTGCAATTACAAATGTGTACACCCACATATACATACATACATGAATGCATACGTACATAGTATATCCATGAGTAGGAAGCTATTAACTGTATGTATGTGTGCGTAGTTAGTCAGTTAGTTTAGGTGCTTCTCTAACATTTGTTATGCCCCATCCATCCAAGACTACCCTACTACTACTATAACTACTACAAACCGCTGCCTTCGATCCAGTGGTAACATGAAATGCAGCTCTTAACAACAACAAAAACAATGTCGGTGATGATGAGAAAGGTACGCATATCTTTATACTCGCAGTGGCAAAACCAAGTGCTCATCTAGCCCGAGGCAGTAGCTTAATGAAAAAGGTATGACCAGAATTTAAAAAGTGTATGCACCATAAAAACTGATTACAAGTAGACTTCCATTTTCATCTCAACTTTTCACACATTTTCATAAATCTTAGGATCTAAATAAATGAACTAAATCGGAAAGAGTCTGTCCGATTTCAAGTTTCATAGGCCTAATTAAATAAGACTTAAAAAATATGATCAAATATTGGTTTTTCAAAAATATCCATTTATACTGGTACATATGCATCTCTTATACCATGACATTAACTACATGTCGAATTAGAAGGATCTGTTTGGATTATTCAGCTTCGAATGGATCGATATTATTTCATCACCTTTTCGTGTTGAACAAAATGAGTGAACAATGATTTACAAAACATATATGGCAAAGACCAAGATTTTTTTAATTCTTTCAAAAGTGCCATCGGCAAATAATTCAAATATTATAAATAATATTGTAATGATAGTTTTCAAAATTGCAAAATAAAAACAGATCGGATACATAATTTAAAAAATAATAAAATTTTGACCGAGTTTCGACTATACTAGATAGTACTACGATACTTGTAGTACTCTTTGGATTTTTATGTCATGCTCCCTGTCCGACCTCCTTACCTTATTCGCATATTTAAATCTCCTACAAAATTAGTTTATGCAAATTTTGTTAAATGAATCACAACCGGCATTCGGAGATGACTAAGAGACTTGAGCCTTTGCCAATACTAGAGGACACTCGTTATCCCTGGCAGGTCCTTCCACTGCGTAACGCAACGCACCACAATGTCTAACGTCAAATGCGTAATGCTTGCGTAACGCGTTTTAGAGTGCGAGCGCAGAGTTCATAGTAGTACGAGTAGATGAGGAGGTGAAATGGCTGGCTAAAAGGCATTTTGCATAGGGCATGCTTCGTGAGTTTTGCTAATTAGATTACAAGAACAGCAAGAACACCAAACAACAAGTGATATGAGCAGCCCTCAGTAAGTAGTTGCCGCCAGCCCATGTCGATGTAGAAAACAAACAGAAAATACAAAAAATAAAATAAAAAATAAGGCAACGTTAAAATTAGTTCATTGGAACGAAAAGCGCGGCAGCTGCTACCATGGCAGCGACATCAGCTATTTGACAGCTCCCTGGGGCGTGCTCAAGCTTAAGTTGGTCGACGGTCTAGGCACGGGTACGTGATTGCGTTGCGGCACACATCTCCCAAGTCCGATTGGCCCAAATGTTTTAAACTACCAAATATGTAGCAGCAGAGATTAGTTTGAGCAGCCGAAGTTAGTTTTCATGCTCATCTCCTAGAGTCAAGATTCTGCATATGCGTTGCCAGCATAAGCAGAGAACTCAAAGTTCAGAACAACACACCCACGGTAACAAAACACATTTGCTGTTAGATTCATTCACCAACTTAACAATAATATCAACATCTTCAAGCGCGCTATTCACACGCCCAGTCATCAACACACACACATTTAAGTATAGACATTATGTGCAGGCGCAACAAATATAATTCTGAAGCTTCTGCTTAAGCATTCAAAGGCATTTGTAGAAATGTCGGGAAACGGTGCTTAGCCAGAAACAGGCGCATACACCTACCCAGATACAGACGGGGAGATACAGAATCGCGTACATACGCACTTAGCACTCATAGTGTTTCCTTTGCCTCTTTATCTACATCTCTCCCTCTGCCTTCTCCAGCTGCGGCTGCCCTCGGATGAAACTTAAGTGTTTGCCGCACATAAACAGTTTTCATTTGCTGCTCGTCCCAGCTCAGTGAGCGTGACATGCCAATCTTAGAAACGTCATTAACTTCTGTTGCTGCCACTGCCACTGCTGCATATGATGACAATTCAACAGGAGTAGGAGAGCAGGAGCGAAGGAGAGCAGGATGTCACCAGTAATGTAAAACGTAAAACACATGCTCGCCAGCCACTCTTTGTTTGAAAAACCAGAGAAGCTATAATACGAGTATGCCTTCCAGCAGCTAAGCTAAAATAAAGAAACAATACCATCGATTTAAATATACTCGTATGTCTTCTAGTATACTACATATAGTATACAAGAGTATAAAGCAATTGAGCCCGATTTTAAAACAAACTGATTGAACATATACCATTTCGTTCACTACGCAAGCTTTTTTATTCGAAATATAAAAAAAAAAACGGGTAACCATTTGGTTTTAAAAATTAAATTAAATCAGTATTTTCTATTAAATTATACTTACGAATGAAAAACAGTCAAATTTTAAATTTGTCTCAAAGATTACCAGATATAGTTTCATGTGCAACGTTATTGAAGAAGTTAATCACACTACAAATTTAAAACAGTTCCCACTGCTTTGCATTTTCATGCAAATACAGGCACACATAATTACATATTTAAGCATACAAAGGTAGATAGGTATGTATGATCTAGATGGAGTGACGCATCTGTGCGCCCACTCAAGTATGCCTTCATTTTCGCCTGGCAGGAGCCTTTTAATATTCATTTAGTTGTAATTACCAAGTTGATGCTTCCTTTGCCGCCGCTGTCGCCTTTGTCGAGTTTGCCCCTCCCTGTGCCTTTGATGCTCTTGCGGCTCCGGCTACTGCTTGCATTATTGGCTGTAATGCAGACACAATCAGGCGATTGCCCCGAAGCTTCATGGCACGTTGCAGTAAGCCGGCAGCCTACAGCACGCAGCCGGCAGCGAGTGGATTATCGCAAATGAATAACGGCACTGATTGTGCCACGCACAAAAAACTGAAGCTACAGAGCAGATGGAAGGCAATGAAATAGAAATGTAATTAAAAATGAAATTAAAATCGAAATTAACACAGACGCGCTTTCTAACACTGCATTGTGAGAAAGATGAAGAATTCTACCCAAGTAGGAAGAAACATGACATGACAGAACTCCAAAAATATCCTTATGAAACCTTCTCTTCTTACTTTAATTCAGAGTTCGTACCTCTGGTGTACCAACATCTTAAATGAGTGGTTTCCCAACAAAATTTCACCAAGCTCTCTCGAAGAAACAGTTCTAATAATCTGCCCCCGTGCAGACTGCGCGTAGTAAACTGACTAAAGGCTAAAGAATCTATATGAACGTGCCAATTTTAAAACCTTCATTACGTATCGTACTGCTGTTTCTTTTCGTACACCTATTAAGCATCTCATTGTCGTGCTTTTATATAAATTTATATATACGCATTACTGCTCCATGGTAGGATTTCCGCTATTGAATAATTGTGATTGCAGTTGCCAGATAAAAATTAAATGAGCGGGAAAATAAGGAAAATTATAATGGCCACAGAAAAAAGCAAAAGAATTTCTGCGACACTTAATGTCTTTTGACTCTCATTGTTCTTGTTGTTGTTCCTGATTCTGCTTTTGCCACTGATGCTGCCTGGAGGTAAGTGCAACGAAAACCCCAGCTCTAGACTATGTAAAGCTAATATTGTACTAATACTCATATGCTGCTGCCAAACGAACAGAAAATAGTATAAAACGAGGAGAAACGGAATCGCATTAATAACTAGCAATTAAAATACTTCATTTAGACCTAAGTAGATAAGCCAAACAAATTTATTAAAATGGAAGAAAGTCACAATTTAGCATAAGAACGAGATGATTAAAAACAAAAAACAAAACCGACACCTAATAAGCATTTAGACATCTGAGCCAACAACATGCCAAATTTCATTTGTACAATACTATCAAATACAAGTATATTCGACATACTTTAACAATAAACAAAATCTTAATAAAATACTAAGGATAAAAGGACAAATGCAGGTATATCAACAAACAAATACATACAGTCAAACGAAACTAAGTAGAAAAAAAAAGAACATAAGACCTTAGGCAATATCTATATGTAGATGTACATATACTATATACAAGGCTAATATAAAAGTCACGCTGCAAATCTATATTTTAATTACTCCTACCCCCATTCCTCTGGTAGTATGATTTTAAGCTAGAGCACCTAAAGATTAGGAGAAGCTTAAGCCACTCGCATACTCCTATGTGTGTATCCAGATTTATTGACAAGCGCTTGAATATACTCAAGATATTTGATGAAAAGCTTACAAGGAACACTTTAAATTTGTCCTACAAACAAACATCAACACGAAAATAATATTCGATGTAAGTGCAAGCTTTAAAGATTCGTCGCATCGCTCTTAAATGATGATCATACAGTTTTATTAAGAGAGAAACAAAATTTTAAAAAATTAATTAAATAAAAATTGCTTTGTGCGTGTAAAAAGCAGCTTTGTATAGATTGTTTAAAAGCAACTTTAATGTCTTCCCCGCATATTAGAAAATAGAAATCGTTATGCATGTTGTGTTTTCAAGGCGTTTGCTTCATTTAAAACCTTAAGTTAGTTATTAGGACAAACACACACACACATACATATAATTCGGGGTAAAATAAAACTAATTAAGACTTGAAAGAAACATTATGAATTACTTTGTTAAAACAGCTAATGTTACAAAAACAAAAAAAAAACTAATACAAAAATTTGCCAAAGACATTTGTTAAAAAGTGTATGAAATCGATTTTTTACTTTTGGTAAGCTACAATTATTAAAAATAATTACTACTAAATCCATTTATTTTTCTTTACAATTAAAACAGTTTTCATATTATTTCAAATATCAATACATAAAATTGTCATAATTGGCAGACTGATTTAAGAAGGTGTAATCTTTACAGAAAGATTCAACAGAAAAACACAAGCTATTAACTATTAACAACAAACAAGAAAAGCTAATAAATGTCGTTGTGTTGTTAAATTTGTTCGTATTGTATAAAACATTTCACTTGCAAGTTTTTTTGCAACAGCCGCAAAGCAAGCGACACACAAGACTTGAAATACTGAACCTAGGTTAATACAAATTTAAAGCAAAAAAACAATTAATGTAAAAATTAAACAACAAAAACACACATACTACTTATATACAATATATTAAATATTAGAAAGCTACGAGTATGTATTACAAAAGTCAACGATGTGTGAGCATTTTTAATAATAACTGAATTATTTTATGTAGAGATATGACGGAAAAACAAACCAACAAACAAAAGAAACTACAAATAGTTAAT